AACGCGCCGTCTGGTCGACGGGCTCCCCCCCAGGTAACCAATGCAAGCTGTAGGTTGCGACGCGTATGCGTTGCTGTCGATTGCAAGGGGTGGGCCCAAACCTGGCGCGCTCAGGTGCGAGCGAAATCGCGCGATGCGGGTGCCGACGCGAGGTCGAGCTCACTCCACAAGAAAAATCACCCGACCCGCTTTGGGCCAGGATCAGAGGTCACTCTGGCGAAGTGAGCGCACCCGGGGAAACCATCGAGCAGGGCAGGGCTATTTAGTAGACGCCCAGGGCCGCTTAGCAAACGCCAATTATCGGACGTCCACCTCCCGTGCATTTTTCGATGTCGTGCGTGCTTTTTCTTGCCCGATGGTCCAGGATGGTCCTCGATGGTTCTCGCCGAGAAAAAATGCACACGTCCGAGCGATACCCAGGGTCGGGGTGGTGTCTCCTCCCTTGAGGAGTGGCCCTCGGTGAGAGGCTCCGGCCTCCTCCTCCTCCTCCTCCTCGTTCTCCTCCTCCTCCTCCTCCTGCTCCTCCTCCTCGCTTTCCGTCCTCCTCCTCCTCCTCCTCGTTCTCCTCCTCCTCCTCCTGTTTCTCCTCCTCGTTTTCCGTCCTCCTCCTCCTCCTTCTCCTCCTCCTCATCCTCCTCGTCCTGCTCCTCCTCCTCCTACTCCTCCTCCTCCTGCTCCTGCTCCTTCATTGAGGAGTGGCCCTCGGTGAGAGGCTCCGGCCGGGCAAGCCCCCGTGCGATGGCCGCCGTTGTCGGTGGGCGTATTCGGCGATCGAGGGGCCCCAAGGGGCCCGCACCAAGGGCCGCTCTGGCGAACAGGAACTCCTATACGAGAATAGCGCTCTCGCACCGTACCATGTTGGGACTCCCTGCATACCCCTTTGCAGGGCGGTACAGCGCATAGCTTGCATCTCTGAGCGCCGAGCAGGTCTGCACCGTACCATTCCTGGGTCGGGTATCGTCGACGACGCGGGAGACTCTGCACACACGTCGTCTGCGAATCTCACGCGTAGCCCAAGGGTAAATCAGGATGGGGGGTGATGGTGATGAATCGGCGAGCCCTGAGAGCCGGCGGACCTGGAGGATGCATTGAACGGCAGGGGGGTGTCAGAGCGATCGGGAACTCTCTGAGAAGCGTCCGGGACGCTCTGGACGATATGTCCTTCTCCTGGGCCTGCCTGACGCGAAGCGAAGGCCGAACCCCAACAACAGCTGCCACCTCCAGGAGGAGGTGCCGAAGCGAGCAACAGCAAAGCCGGACGAGCTTCTGTCAAAGGCAGGGGTCTGCAGACCATGTGAACACCAGAGCACAAGAAGGAGGCGGAGGGACGAAGAAGACAAGCGAGAAAGAGAGAGAGAGAGAGAGAGAGAGAGACCCGGGACGGTTCCCGACCCCCGACGTCATGATTTTTTCCTGACGCGACCCCCAGGAGGTCCCGACCCTTTCCCCGGGGCCAGTTTCTCATTCGGGGATGGACAGACCTCCCTTTAGTAAAACGTGGTTTAGTGAAAACGACTTCGGGCCCAAACCTGGCGGGCGCAAGCCTGGAAAATAACGGCCACGGCGCCCTCTCGAAAACCGAAAACGGACAATTCACTAATCGACGTGTCACTATTGGGGGTTCTGTCCACCCCCGACTCATCCTGAGTCGTTCTTTGACGGTCCCGAGGCCCGGCGGGGGGGCCCCCCGTGGCCGAGGACGGCCAAAGACCTCCCGTCCTGATTTCTGCCACGACGCGATCAGGTCCACGGGACACAGGGAGAGAGAGAGAGAGAGGGACACGGGACGGTTTGCGGATGTCCATTGGAGTTCTCTTTCCGAAGTGTTCGGGGCCAAGGGTTAGGGCGGGCATGTCCCTGGAGGCGGATTTTGGGCGAGAAATCAAAGATACCAAACAAAATACAAAACAATCAAAAATGATTAAAAGATCGTTCCCATACTATTTTGTACTTGTTCTTTTTCCCCTATTTTTGAATATTCCTCCTGTAGAGGGACACGCTCAACTTATCAGCCAAGGGTGGCTTTGACCAGGGGGCGCCTCGTCGAGGGCGTTCCGGGGATGCCAGCTGCCTCTCGCGAGCGGCCGCCGGAGGGCCGAGCTGCAGGGTCCGCGGAGGAGGAGGCCGTGCGCCAGACCCCCCCCGCGCGCCGCGCGCCGCGAAGCGTCTGGAGGGGTGGAAGTGGGCACCAACACCAAGACAGAGGGTTGCCTCCACAAGGGGGAGGCGATCCTAGATCTCCACAAGGGTTGCCTCCACAAGACGAGGCCGTGCTCCAGACGACCCCCCCCCGCGCGCCGCGAAGCGTCTGGAGGCGTGGACGTGGGCACCAGAAAACTTCAGTTTCCGGCCAGAGTCTCGATGATTCTTAATGCTGCAGTGCGAATCCTAAGATTTTCTTGCAAAAATCGGTGGCTTTTTGTTCACATTCTGAGACTATGGATTTCTTAACCCAGATTAACTGGAGGCGTGCAAGACAGGGGGTTGCCTCCACAAGGGGGAGACGATCCTGGATCTCGGCGTCGGTGGTAATGTCTCGGTCGCCTCGAGAGCCGGAGTAGGACCACCAGCACCGAGATCGGGATCCTCTCACCTCGGTGGAGGCACATCGCCGATGTTGGTCTTGGTGTGAACCTCCAGGCCTGCGATGCGTCCATCTCCGCCCGCCCGGGGGTCCGCACCGAGCCAGGGGGCCGTCACCAGACGACGCGGGAGGAGCGGCCGGTGCCGCCGGAAGGGCTCCAAAGCGCGGCCCGGGGACGCAGGTGGACGATGAGGACCCACCTTTAGAGGCCTCCTGGAGGGGGTCCGAGTGAATGATGTCGAAGCATTGCGCCGCATCGCCGATGCATCAGCGACGTCGGTGATTCATCGGTGACGTCGGCGTGGAGAAAATCGGGCTCCACAGCGAGCCGCAACGTCGATGCATCGGCGATGCAGCGCGATCCTCCGACCCCACCTACTCCGATCCCATCAGGAAGGCCTAGATCCTGGGAGTAAGTGAGCGTCCTGGCAACATCATTGGAGACGCGATGCCTGCTGGTCGCGGGCGGGCGCGCTCAGGAGCGATCCTGGCAAGCTTCTTGGCAGCAGTGTTTGCGACGCGAGGCGCGAAGCAAACGAGCGGGCACGCCAGAAGTGAGCTCTCCGGCAGCCGCGCTTGCATCGCGATGGCCGCCAGCCGGGGGGCGGGCACACCCGGAGTGGACCTCCTGGCGATCGCGAGAGCGGGCGTCTCGGCATGCTCCGCTGGGGCGCGGAAATTAGTGGCTCTGTCTCGAGGTCGCGCTGCCCTTCGTCGTGTGTCCGTGCTGCTCTTGGAGGTCAGGGGCGGCGCTGCTTCCTCATACAGGGCAGCTTCTAATACATAGGATTTAAGACTATCGGATGTTTAATGCATGGTTCATTTATAAATAAATCTACGCATCCTCTCATCGTTGTTTTTAATACTGAGCCCCTGCTTTTTTAAAGATATGTTCCGCACGCGGAGCATGTGTAAAAAACGGCACTGTATTATCACGGTGTGGTGGCGGGGGCGGGCCTCCCTCCCTGCGTCCTCCCCCTGTCCTCCGGGGGAGCGCGCTCCCCAAGGAGAGGGAGAGCGGGCGGCCAAGAGCAGGGAAGGAAACGGGGAGGGTGGCCAACAGGAGGTACAACAAGGACGCGCAGTGCACGAGCAGGCGCGCACGAGCTGCTGCATGCCTTCCCTGCTGTCCGGGGGAGGATTCGAGTGGGAGCTCAAGTACAGAATCGATGTACCCCAACATTGTCTTTTTTGGTACTCGTCGATGTACGAAACGTACGCCGAGTGCTTCTAGAGGAACGGTATTTCTGGTGCCCATGTATTTGACGAAAAAGGCAGCTGTGGGGTATACAGATTCAGTCATCGATCTTCTACCAATATGATGGAAGGGCGCGATGAGAAGGGAGGCGAGGAGGGGGTTGCGAGGAGAGGCAGAGGCAGGAGGACTGGCTGGGCCTAGAGCCTGGTAGGCTCTGCGCCATTCGGCGATTAAGGAGAGAGGAAGAGAGAGAGAGAGAGAGAGAGGAAGGAGGAGGCAGCGGACGGAGGAGCATGATGAGGTTCATTCGCCCGCTAATGGGGGTCTGACTTCTTGGGATCACAATCAGCGAAAACAACAACTAAATAAAACTGATTTTCTGAGAAGGACACCGGCCCCGGACAAGCATTGCCAGAGGAATTGCCAGGGAAAAAACAAGGATGATATCACTTCCCCGAATAAAGAGCATCCTAAAACATTAGCTCACCTTTCTCTGACACCCGAACGCCTGACCCCCAGTAACGGGCGACAAAGAGGCAGAAGGAAGGCGAACACGGTACTGCACCCGACCATCGAAATGAAATATGCATGGGCCCTGGAGGGAGATGGATCGAGGAGGGCCGCCCCACTGTGCTTCCACGGGGCCATCAAGAAGACACCCCAGGAGACCCCGGGAACTACTATATCCAAGGGGGCCCCTGCCCCGCGCAGGGCCCCCGACGTCCCCGATGGATGCCACGCCCCACCCCTCCCCGGTCAGGGCAGCTTCTCCGTGCATCGTGGATGGCGTGGCGGGGCTACACGTCGTTCATTTATAATCGTGCTCATTTCTCATCGTGCTCGTTCTGATGGTTCCTGGCCCCCTAGTGGCCAGGAAGAGGCCCAGGCTAGAACAGTTCGAAATGAAAGGATCTTGGCCCCCCAAAAAATCAAAGAACTTCCGAGGATTTAGAAATGAACAATGGCGTGGCGGGGGAGATGGAGGAAGAAGAGGAGGAGGAGGAGGAGGAGGAGGAGAAGGCGGAAGAGGAGGAGGAGGGGGAGGAGGAAGGGGAGGAGGACGACGACGAGGACGACGAGGAGGACGACGAGGAGGAGGAGGAGGAGGAGGAGGAGGAGCAGGAGCGGGATAGGCGACGCGGTAAGCATTGAACGAGGCCCTGGGAGGCGAGGCGGCAGGCGGGAGGGCAGAGAGCGCGCGGCGGCGCCCGTCCCCTCCGTGGGAGCGATGGCCTGGGCCACGGCCTCCCCTCCCCGGCCTCGGCTCCTCCGGCCTCGACTGCCTGCCGCATCGCCTACCTAGCCCCCCTCGTCTCCGCGCCCTCCCTCGCCTCCCCTCCCTCCCCCCCGCCTCCCTCTGCCCCTCCCCTCCCGCCTTCTCTCTCTCTCTCTCTCTTTCTTTCTCTCTCTCTCTCTCTCTCTCTCTCCTTCGACCGAAGAGTCGTGCGACGCGGCCACCTGTCCTGCCCCCGCCCCACGGCTGAACCCGGTGGGGCGGGGGGGGGCTGATTAGGTCCTCCCGCCCCCGCCCCCCTCCCACGCTTTCGGGGATCCTCTGACCCATTGACCCCCGTCTCGAGGCTCCCGACGCTTGGTAAGGCTTCGGGCTCCGGGCAAGCATCCCCCCAGGACGGTCCCGGCTGGCCTCAACAGGACCTCCGAGCTGTCACAGAGTAGTCGCAGCTGGCCTCACCGAGCCCTCCGCGTAGCCTGGGGCGGTCTCAACATTCTGGCGCCTCAGCACCAGAAGTTACCTGCTGCAGCTGCGTCTTCTGCGTTAACCGGCAAGGACCCCAAACAGTGCATTATTACACTGTGGAGATGCAAGTTTCGTGACGAAAGCTCTGTGGTGAAAGCTCTGTGATGTAAGCTAGTAAGCTACGATGTGTGAGCTAAGGGCGTGCCAAAATTCATATATTTATCTGTATGTATATATATATATGTATAGGTATACATATTGTACACACATCTATCCGCCACCGTGCCTCGAGGCACGAACTGGAGTTACCCCCAGGCTCTCATGTCGTCTCTTTCCAGAATCCTGCGTTATGGAAAAGGGGCACCGATCGTGCATTTCCAGACTGTGGGAGCTGCAACTCGCAGAGCGGCGCTCTGCAAAATTGCTCCAAAACTTACGCACTCGCTGCTCCTCCCCTCATTCGAATCGCGCTGCACTGCCCATCGGCCTCGAAGCCGGGTTCCCCACCCTGCTGGGGCTCTGATTCAAAGGCGCGCCGCTCGGCGAATTGGCCTCAGAGAGTGTGCGCGTGCACCTGCTCCTCCTCTCATTAGCAGAGCGCCGCTCTGCGAATTTCACTCAGACCATGCGCACGAATTGCCTGGGGCTGGGGCCCCCGACTGTCAAATTTCCCGGGCGCTCCCGCGCGCTCCTGGGCTGCCTCGCGCGACTTCTCTAGAGGCCAGGGGGCCCCAAGATGGGCAGAGAGGGTCCCAGACAGCGCCCAAGAGGGTCCAAGAGGCCTCCAAGGCAGCCCAAGAGCGGTCCAAGACGCCCAGGATGGCCCCGAGATGGCCAAAGAGGCCCCAAAGACGCCCCAAGAGCGCTCCAAGAGGACCCCCGAGAGGGCCCAACGAGGCACAACGCATTGATGCTCCTAGTGGTGTTCTATAGTTTTCGCGTTCTCTCGTTTTCAAGCTTCCGACGCTACAAGATGGCCCCAGAAGCCCCCAAGACCGCCCCAAGACGGCCCCAGAGGCCCAAACGAGGGCCCCAAGACGGTCCAAGAGGGCCCCAAAACGGACCAGTAGGCGCCAAAGCTCGCCGAAGAGGGCCCCAAAACGGCCCCACGAGGGGGAACACGAACCGACAAGTCGAGCCTTCCGTCCCAAAGGCCCCCAGGAGGCCCCAAAAGGCCCCCACGAGAGCCGAATAGCCCCCCGGAGGCCCCACGGAGACACCAAGATGCACAAAAAGAGACCCCAAGAGGCCCCCAAACGGCTGTCAAGATGCATCAAAACTGCCTCCAAGCGGCCGACGAGAGGCCTCCCACGATATCCAAACGAACATCCAAGACGCCTCGAACTCACAACCCAGGCACGGTGGCAATATGGGCAGAAGGCCACTATATATGAATGTATGATAAAAACTAGATGAATACGCATATGCGAGAGTAACTGTTTGACACACACACACATACATGTGTATATATATATATATATATATATATATATATATATATAGTATGGGGTGTAAGCTATGTGATGCAAGCCACGTTGTGTAATGCATGCGTCGTAGGCGATGTTGTGTGAGCTGTGTGGTAAACATATGTCGTACAAGCTCAGAAAACGGCACGGCGCCCACGAGGCGTGCCCACGGGCGGCACTGTGGTCAAAACCCGGCATGCCCATCGAAGTCACTAGGCAATCCCAGTGAGAACCCCTAGGGGCAACCATGGCTTGGGGAATTACTGTGCCTCCGCATCCTCCCCATCAACGATCCCAGGAAAATCAACGTGCAGCATCACACCATAGGGCCAAACACGACTATGCATGCTCGCTCGATCGCTCCGTGTCCCGAGTATAACCGTTCACCTTTCCTTCCTCATCATCCGCCTCCTTCCTCCTCACCCTCCTCAAACTGGCTTTATCCCTCTATGCCGTCTCATCACCATCATCCACCGGCCCGATATGCGCTTTATGCGTGCCCACAGGTTACTCGTGATATTGTTCATGCTCATCCTCCCCATCTGCATTATCAGAAACCTGGGTATTCATCATCATCCGATGCGGCCAAGTCTGGTTGTGCATAATCGCCCGTTCGCCGCTCAAATCACAAGTGCAATCATCCGCCTCCAATTGGTGTTCATCTTCCTCACTCCCCCTCATCATCCTCACACTGAAATTGCTCCTCCAACTCGTTTCCATCCATGCTGGTGCTTATCCACCTCGTGGTCATCCCCATCCTCTTCACCCTCGTCCCGTCGGTTCCACCTTTTCTTCGACATCATCGTCATTCACGTCGTTGCCCATTTTTGTCTCTCCGCCTCCACGCCCTCATTCTCGTGTCTCCTGACTGCTCATCGGTCAGCTGTGTTCCTCCTCATTGTCCCCCTCGTACCGTCCTGGTCCTTGTAAGTCAACCGCGTCTGCTGCCCCGCCTCCTTCTGTTCCTCTGTCCTGGCACCCTTCCTGCTCCACTATGTTTTGCCAGTCCCTGCCTTCTGATGTCCCTTGGATCGGATGTGCGCATCCACCATGGCGATGTCATCAAGAGCTCCGATGTTGCAGAAAGTGCACCTGCCGCGCTCAGTGGCGCAAACGTTGGACAGAATTGCATGTAGGATGAAGCACGAGGGGGGAGACTCACTCACTCCTCACTCACTAAGCTCGGGGAAACATAAGACTCGGATACGGGGTACTCAAGTTGGCCTGACGGAGCCATCATGAAACTGACGAGACCCAATCTGAAATTTGACGCGGGTTCCTGCTTCAAACATCCCACGGAAACTGGACCGTCAAAATGCGAGAATCGCTCTTCAAAAAACGTCGGCAAACCCGAGGTTCGGCCTACTCGAGTTTTACGTTTCCCCGATAAGCAAATGTCCGTGTCTATGCCCATGCCGCTGGCGCGTCTTTCACGCGTACTCACAGGCAGTGCGCCTCATAATGATCGCATGCATGATCTGCTGATGCGGTGTTATTGACATGCGTTGTTGGTTGCTACGGCGACACAGGTCGACGTGATGGACAGCCGAAGAACACCCACCATGATATAGAAACGACCACCCCAAGTGTCTCATCCAGGCGGGTGGCTCGTTCAACATTGCGCCAGACCAAACAAAACACATCTTGCGACAGTAGAACCTGTTGCTGCAACGCGGGCTTCGCAGAGGAGAGGAACCTGCAGCGTAGTCGCGCTCTTGTTCCCAGCCGACTTCCCCATCCTGCTCTCCCTTTCCAGCTCGACCTCACATGATTCCTCCTCCTGATGCTACACCTCCGTGATCATCCTGTTCTTCGGCTGGCTGTAAGGCACAAGATGTCCTCGTCCGCCTCGTCCCACTGCGGGACCATCGCTCATCCTTGCTCGCGTCTTTCGTTTAATCCTGCTGATCCCGGAGCCGTTGCACGCCGCGAGAAGCCGTGAACTGTGACTGCCACTCCTCCCTCTTTACTCTCTTTCTTCGTCGGTCTTCCTTTCGGCCCGCCCGGGCTCTGCCCGCCTCCAGGGTATCCGGCCTCAGTTCACTTGGCGTTCAGGGATTCGGATTATCGACGCCGCTGAAGAAGGATTTCAGCGCCGCCGTAGAACATGGTGGCCGCGCTACAAAAAAATCCCGGCGCGCAGCTGGCGCGGCACGCGCCCTCAAGTTGCATGCGACACCTCAGCCCGCACCTGCGGCAATTCCACGGATGTCTCAGTGCAGTCTGCCGACATGATCGCCCAAATCTCTAGACTGTTTCCTGCTTCTCATTCTACACTCCTTCCCCTAACAAATAACTCCTCCCTGTCGCATACCTCGGCAAGTTTTTAGGGCGGGCCGGGCGTTTCGTCTGAGACTTCCGCACCATTTCGAATCTGAAGGTTGGAGATTGGAAAAAGTTTGACAGATGGAGGGCGGGTAGTTTTCCAGATGTGGCTCTTGATTTAGCGCCGCGTTTACAACATTTGCAAGCGTTTCACGGATTGGCGAGTCCGGGCGTGGTGAGCGATGGACGTGGAGCGATATCGCTATCGCTTCCACCTCAGTCGGCGACTCCGAAAGGTGGGCGTGGTTTTCACAGGGTGCGGCTTGCAACCGGCACCCTGGGGGATATCCTGGGGGCGGGCGAAGACCTCCAAAGAACTCTCCGCCGCGCCCCAATGGGACCCGAGGTGCATTGCGTCGCGCTCCCCAGGCCCCAGCCCCAACGGTGCCAATCGCAACCAATACCCCGGCGTGACCATGCCCTTGGTAATCGCCGACTCTGATTCGAAAAACACAATCATGGATCAGCGGCGCATGTTTTAGCGATGGGTCCCTTGTCAGTGCGGATTCGGCGTGCTCCGTGGCCAGAGTAAACGGCATTGCCCTCATTTTCGGGGGGGGCCTTCCGCGATCCGTGGATCAGGCGCCCACTCGTCAGATCCACGAATTCATAATTCATATCAGCGCGTGTCCGATTGATCCTCCCCTGTCCTCGTCGTTCGCCCTGGCCCTTGGGGGAGAGGGCCTGTAGGCTCCAGCCACTCGGTCCGCGGCGTCGGCCTTGAGCGCGATGCCTCGGCAGAGGAGCGGGCGGGGAGCATCCGATGAGGTACCAGCATGGTGAAGGGGCGGGAGGCAGCTAGGGCTCTCGCGGAGGGGAACTGCGCGAGGCAGGGAGGGAGGAAAAAGGAGGGAGGGACGATGAGGACGATGAGGGCGATGAGGACGAGCAGGAGGAGGAGGAGGAGGAGGAGGAGGAGGAGGAGGAGGAGGAGGAGGAGGAGGAGGAGGAGGAGGAGGAGGAGGAGAGGAGGAGGAGAGAAGGAGGAGGAGGAGGAGGAGGAGGCCAGCGTAACATCGTCCTCGCCCCCCCCCCCCAACTAGGCCTGGCTGTACTCGGTGCCCTGGGCCACCTTCAGCCGCAGGTCCCGAAGCGCAGCGCGCGCGGCGTCGAGGTTGGTAGAGGGGGGGGGGGGGCGCAAGGCAGAGGAGGGCAGAGAACGAAGATAATGGTAGATATGGTGAGCAACATTTACTTCTTCGAGAACAGCGATGGTGCAACTCGGTGCCCCCCCCCCCCCCCCCCCCCATCTTTGCAACGGGTCGGGCGACAAAGGGCGGTGCCTGAGCACAGACGAGATCGACCAAGCAAGACGGCGACACGAGGCATAGTGAGCTTGCCTGTCGGGCTCATGCTCGCAGCCGAAAGTACACCCTAGACGCCCTCGCTCGTTCAGAATCCTGTGGGATGTGAGCCACCCACCACGCATGGCACGATGCCAGGTCCAGGCCCAGGAGGGGGGGGGGGGAGGCCGACCGCAGGACCGCACGGATAGCATCCCAATTAACATTCATGATGAACTCTCTGCGCTCTGGCCACCACTTCAGAAGACGCTGCTGGTAGTGAACTTCGAGAGCAGATGAGGGGGGGGGGAAGACAGACGCGCGAGCTTGGCCGCCCGCTGGTGCTTGCGCGGGGCGGCACGGCATGCAGCAGCCGCAGTGGCGAGGAGAGTGCCGTCAGCGCTGGGCCCCGCTTCATAAAGCATCTCGGCGAAGGATGGGCACCGCCAGTGAGGAGGGTACCGACGGCCTGCAGGAAGAACAATGAGACGACACATGTCGAGCTCACGAGACTGAGGCGTGTCGGTCTGGCGCACCAGGAAGTCGAACACCTCTTTGTACCCAGGGATAGTCACGATCGCCATGCGAGCCCGCGCTGCAGTACACGCGACCTCGAGCGGGCACGCGTTGGGCCCGTGCCAGTTTTTCAGTTGCTCCCAGTCCCTTTCTCAATAAACTCCCGGCGGCAGACGAAAAGCTCGTGCAAGAGCACCGCGCTCCGCGGCTCGGAGGACAGCTGGCAGAGGGAGGAACTGCATAACGTAGATCAACGCAGGCGCGCAGCGAGCATTGAATAAAACAGCAGAGGACGAGGCGGGCGTGTTCCCAGCACCCGCCGCTGCCGCACGCGCCATGAAGTTTTCCCGTGGAAGAGACCATGAATCAGCCAGAACAGTGGCAGGCCCAATCCATAGGCCCAAGTAAAAGAGCTTGGATCCCACTCGAAAGTCACGCCACTCGGGGATGAACGTCTTTAAGAAATCCTGGACGCGTTTTTTCAGCTCCGAGGTAACTGGGCCCGATACTAGACTCAGAACACACTTGGAGGGCTCCAGACGAAGGTTGGCCGTCGCTTCCACGACCCTCATCGCGCGGCGCAGCGGCAACAAAAGACGCATATCATCGATGACACCACCGCGGTCATCAGCACATGCGCGATTGATACCACGTCGGGAAGCCTCAAACGAGCGGTGGAGGTCACGAAGAGCAGGAGACAAGGCGGCGGCGAACAGCGACCCCGAGAGGGCACAGCCCTGGATAAGACCCGAGCGAATCCAGAAAGCGTGCAAGAGCGATCCCTGGACGGAGACGACCCCTTCGATACCCTCGTACAAGATCGGCACGAAAGAGATGAGCTGGGAGGGGCAACCCATCTTGCGCAATACCAATAGCACGAACTCCTTATTGAGGCTCGGAAAAGCCTTGCCATAGCCCAGGGCGCACAGCAACGGGCAACGATGATGAGCTCCAGGCCGAGCCGAATGCACTCGAGACAGAACGTCCACTACCACCAGTTTCTGGCAAAAGGTCACCCCCTTCATGAACCCCCTCTGGTCGGGCGGAACAAAATGAGCGAGCGGCTTGCAAACAGCGACGTCAACCGCGGCCGTGAGCAGCTTGACGCTCGCATTGCGCAAGCCAAGCACACGAACAACAGGCGCCTCCCGTTCGCATCCTCCCCCCCGCGTGTCAGTGTCTAGTGTGCCCTTCGGTAGAAAGGCCTGCAGTGGGTCATTCTCAGCCGGACGAATCCTATTCCCCTCCATCATCCACCAAAGAGCGCCATGCAGCGTGAGGAGGCCAAACGGATGAGCACGCCACGCAGCATAACAGCGGCGATCCACGCCTGGAGCATAATCACTGACACGAAGTGCAACTTCCTTCAACAACGCAAGCGATGGCGGCGGGCAATCAGAGATATCGACGGCCTGAGCGAAGCGGTCGCAGCACGCGTTGGCAGTTTTGACGGCCCAGGATTGGCGAGCAAAGACAGGGCCCCAATGGGGAACCAGGGCTTCGTGACGATCTTGCAAACAATAAAAGCTCTGCCCACGGACGACGACTGCTCGACGAGCAAGACGACGAGCGAGAGATGCCCAAATCCTGGCCCTCCTCTCGATAGCCTGAAGCATATGACGCCCTTTATGCCGAACACCCCCCCCCCGTCAGCATGTTCGAGACGAGACCGAGCAGCAGCGCGATCGAGATTCGACGCCTTCAGTTGCACCTCGTTGGACCAGCGGTGGGTGGAAGCAGGGTGGATGAGCACGACCTTCGCGCCTTCCGCGCAGATAATACCAGCGGCGGCGGCGTGCGAACGAAGAAGACGAGAGGCGGTCGGCGCGCCCTGGCGCCAAATAGCGCGAGCAATAGAGCGAGCCAGGAGTAACAACGCACGTGGGTCCGTCGAGCGGCGGAACATCGGGGCACCCCTCGCCCCCCCGTTCGCTTCCCGCAGCAACTCCTCACACCGCTCGGGCCTCCTCGGCGGGCACAGTGCCTGCAAGTGCGCAGATTCAGCTTCGAGAAAGGCGGCCAGCACCTGCTTGTATTCTTTTGTCTGGCAAACGTGTTTTGGGATGGGGCGTTCAGCGGGCTCTTGAGGCTTGCGGTGACCGAAGGAGACGCACAAGGCGGCGTGGTCGCTGATCTTCGCCCGATGGAGGACCTCTGGAGACCCTTCAACATAAGCCTGCGAATACACTTGAGCGAGAACACAGCCAGGCCAACCACGCCAGAACCTGTCAATCGCAGCAACCACGTTGCCATTCGCGTCAAAGTGAGCGGCCTCGAGAGGGGTGACCTCGACCAGGGAGTCAAGAGCAGCCGTCCACCGCGACGCCTGTGCGTGCGCGGGACGGGCCGCCCGTTGTGCCTGAGCCCCCGATGGCCGCGAGAAGCTCAGTGCGTTCCTCGCTCGCCCAGTTGAAATCGCCAAGCGCGACAAGCAGCGCAGATCCAGGAGAAGATTCCGAAAGAGCCAGATCCCGAGTTATTTGACTGCGCACATCGCTTACTTGTCCCGAAGCCAGACCATGATTGTGAATGTTGTAATGAGTTAAAGTGGTGTCCTGGTTTTGCTGAGCAACGCGGGTGACTCGACCAGGAACGAGCACGCGCAAGGAAGAGGTGACACCAGCTGGCAGCGTCGGCGAGGAGGCGCCTCGCGATAAAATACCAGGAACGACAGTGGCGACACCGCCGCGGATCCTCCCTGCACGGTCAGCGCCGCAGATGCTCGAAAACAAAACAGCCTCGGGCAACGCACGGCGCAGGAAGGTAGCTAGTTGGACCTCGCACTGGTGGGCCTCCTGGAGGGCGGTGACTGACGAGCCCAGTCGAAGCCTCTGGAGGCACCCCAATTTCACACCAGCGTGGGCACCTTCAAATTGGAGGAGTGCTCGCGAGTTCCACGAGACAAAACGAAGGCCACTGGCTGCAGTGGCACCACGCAAAAATTGGACGGTCGAGCGGCCGATCAGCGCAGCGAAACGGCTAAAGGCGCAACTCAGGCTCTCGCTCCAGGGTTCCAAAGCACACGAGTTGGCTCACGGCCAGGGAAGCGCTCGATCTTGCACAACGCATCCCAGCCCAACGAGAGCCAGCCCCGATCCCGATCGAAGAAGACACGCTGGTTGGCGCCGTGCAGCTCCACGAACTTGCTGCGCATCTTCCTGCCGATGACTTCCGTCTTGATATGCTTCGCATTCTTGTCCTGGGACAGGTGAAGCCTCGTCTGTCCACCAGCATGCGCATCCACATTAAACTCGCGCCACGTGTTGCCAACGCGCAGCGAGGCCAATAACTTCTGGACCCGCCGCGCAGCCAAGCCGACTGCGCCCTTGAGCTTGATGGTGAAGTACTTCGAGAGAGGGTCCGCAGCCGTGAGCTCCCACTGCTCAGAGGTGATGCTAGACTCCTCCACCCAGGGCGCCAGCACGTCGTGGACAGCGGTCTTGGCGACGAGCCTGCCCGCAACGACCTTGATGATCGTCTCATCGGTGTCGCGCATGAGGGTGTCCGAACCTGCGACGGGGCGAGGCGCAAGTGTCGCCGAGTTGGCGACCGCGAGGGCACTCTGCAGCTGCTTGATCTGCCCCTGCATCTCACGCAGAAGTTTGTCCTGCAGATCCACGCGACTGTCGACTGCATGATGTCCATTTTGAGGCTGTCGCACCGGGTATTGAGCTCGCGCCTGACCTCGTCGATATTGGGGTGACGGCGGCGACGATCTGGGCATCCAGCTTCGAGGGCAGCGCGTCGAGGTCGGCCTTGCACTTGCTGAAGCATTCGTCCAGGTTGGGGGCGAGGGACTGCTGGATGGTGGTCGTTTCGGCCTTGACGGTGGACGTGACGCAGTCACCGATGTGCGCGTTGAGCGCAGCCTGGTACTTGGCCATCCCTGATCCGAGCAGCTCGGCGACCATGATGCGGACGTGCTCAGGGTCGA